TGGAGCTTGTCCCAGAACTCACGCTGCAGACCAGGCCGGCCTTGAACTCACAGAGATATACCTACCTGCCTCTGCCTTCCAAGTGCTGGGATTTAAAGGCTTGCACCACCACCTGCCTTCCTTCTACTTCCTAAGTGTTGCTCAGTGACAGTTTGGGGAGACCCGGGAAAGGGGTCACGGGCCCAAGTAGTATCCCAAACAGAGAGTACAAGTGACAAATGCTGTTCTTGCCCTTTCTCCCCCAGCCTTCAGGAAGATTATACAATAACAAAACCAAATTCTTTGCTTTCTGCTTTCAGGCTGTTTCTCACAAGGAGACAGCGGCCGGCTCACATTTGTTCATCAGGCCTCTATGCAGTCCTGCTTGCTTGTCCACGGTTCCCACAGAGCACAGGCAAGCAGGGGAGGCAGAGATTGCAAGAGAAAAAGAGTGTGCATCCAGCTGTCCTGTGGCTTCCAGAATGTGATGGAAAACCGCAGTGTTTGTGGGTGAATGCCGTAGAACACAGTGCTAACTGTTCACCGTTGCTCTGGGTCGGGCTGGCGTGCGTGTTCCTGCCTGTGAGTGTCTCCCTCTGAAAGGGGCTTCCCTTGTTGTCATTTGAGGCTGTTCTCCCAGAGGCCTTTGCATCAGAGTGAGCCATCCTGAGACTTTGCAGCAACCCTCAGTTCTTCTCTTCTTCATACCCCACTCCCAATCTGCCAGGTTATCCTACCCACACCACGCTCAAAATGGGTTTTTGATCTCCTCCTGTCACATTCAATTAGAGACCCGGAACTGGTAGGGGACACGTCCAGAACTGCCTGATGTAACACTGAGTCTGCATTCTGTGAGGCAAATGCAGAACAAAAGGGGGACAGTCGCTGCCCATGGGATGAGCTTCTCCCCCAGGGACCCCTTAGCTCTGCTCTCAAGAACTTCCCACTAGTTAGATCAGACTCACCCTGAATCTAGGATGCTCTTTTAACCAAAGTGCATATGATTAGGAATTTTTTCATGTGTATATGTGTGCATACATGTACATGAGTTTGTATTCACGTGGGTACGAGTGTGTGTGCAGGTGTCTGTGTGTTATGTGTGCTTTCACATGGAGGCCCAAAATTGATGTGGCGGTATCCGCCTCGAGCGAGGTAGGGTCTGTCATTGAACCTGGAGCTTGACATTCCTAGCCAGCTTGTCCTGGGAATCCCGTTTCTACTCCTCAAGTGCTGGGATTATAGGCAGCCTGACTGTTTATGTGAATGCGAGGGATCTGGATTCCTGACCTCGTGTTTGTACCAAAAGGGATTTATCCACTAATCCACCCTTTGGGCCCCATGGCTGAGTTACATTCCCTGGGATAGGAACTTTGTAGGTGTGACTGGAGCCAGTTTTAACTTGAGAGTGCCCTGGTTTATCCAGGTGGCCCACTCTAATCACACCCATCCTTAGAAGAAGGAGAGGGACTGGGGACATGGCTCGGTGGGTAAAGGAGCCGACTCACGAGCCTGGTGACTGAACTTCAGCACCAGAACCCAAACAAAGGTGGACAGAGTGAACCAACTTCACAGCGTTGTCCTCGGACCTCCACACACACCGTGGTATCTGTGCCCGCTGCCTCCCCCGCCATGGGCACCCACACGCAATTCTTTTTTTTTTTTTTTAGTCAAAAGCAGAAAAGGGAGAGAGGAAAGTGGGTTTGAGAAATGGGATGTGGGAAAGACTTGGCACTCTCTGCTAAATTGGAATATGGAGAAGGCATTCGGAAGTCAGCAGCAAGGTGAAGGTGACCTCGGTCCTCCTAACACTGTCCCCAAATGTCACTAACAAAACAAAATAGCAACCAAAGTCCGGAAGCTTGCTCAGAACGCTTTGGCATAGTTTTTGCAACCTGATATTCCTGGAGATTTTGTTTTCCTCAGGTTCTCCCTTAACAATCAAGCATTCAATTCTAGGATTCCCTTTCTTACATTTTTGTTTTTCAATACAGAAATTCTAATAAAGCCACTGGGAAAAGCGAGTGACGTCACATGTCAAATTAGATTCTTCTGCACTCTGTCAGGAAGCAGTATGGTAGATGATTTGGTATTGGTCAAGATTCTTCTAGTAAGAAAGGCAGTCGAATCAATGGCTTCGTGTTGTCCCCTGAGGCCGTGTTGGACGACTAGTCTGCAGAGTGACAGCATGTGTGTGTTGTGTCAGTCACAGCCTTGTGGAGGTCTGTGGTGGCAGCTTCGGAGAAGCACACAGCACAGTCCTCCAACGGCCTCCCATGAGATGCAGAGTCAAAGCCCTCCTCCCCCAGTCCCTCTCCCCGTTACTCTGAAGTGGTTTCCTGGCAGAGTTCCTCCTTCTCCCTTCACCCCTACTGCGCCCACATCAGAAGAATGTTAGTGTCCATCAGCCTCGAGGTGCCAAAACAGTCAGCAGTCGAGATAAACAACACTTTAACGTGGCATCTGAACTAACCCAAGCATCTGCGGTACACAAACGTTAATATTGGAAGAAGGACAAGACGGCCCGGCCCCAGGACCTGCTCAGTCTGTCTCCTTTGCCGCCTCCTGGCTCTGACCACAGCTGCTCTCAAACTTCCAGGTTCTCTCCCTGCTTTTCCCTCGTATGTCTACACGGCTCTCTCCCTCGCTGGCTTGGTCACATTTTTGTTGTTGTTGCTCTTTTTGTTTTCTGGTTTTGGCACTAAATCTTGCTCTTGTGGCCCAGGCCCAGGCTGGCCTCAAACTGTCCATCCTCCTGCCTCGGCCTCCCAGGTAGTGGGATGACAGGTGTGTACCACCATATCCAGTCTCAACTATTTACCGAATCTTTCCTGACCGTTTTTTTAAAGTCCCAATGCCCCTCGACAGAACTTCTTGACTTCTTTGCCCAGCGGTTACCATGCCTAGTGTGTTGTTTTATTTATTCACTACTCTTTGTTTCCAGATATGTCACCTAGCAAGCATGTGACATGAAGCAAAGATTCAATAAGTATGCGTAACAGGAATAAATAAATGACCCAAAGACTGATTCTGGGGTTCAAGCTCCAAGCTGAGTATCAGAAAAGCAAAGCAGCTGACCACTGGCTTCTTACCTCTACCTCAGGCTGAATGGGCTGGTCCTGTCTCCACGAGCCTCAGACTGTAACCCCTCCTCAGTGTGGCTGGAGAATGAATGCCTCTCTGAGACCTTGTGTCTGTCTTATATACTTCACTAATGTTGGGATTAAGGTATGAGCTAAAATTCTCTTTTAGATGATTCACTCTTGTGTAGATCTGGGTGGCCTTGGACTCACAGACATCTGTCTGTCTCTTAATCCTGAGTCCTGGGATTTAAGATGTGTACCACCACCTCCTAGCTTCTGACTGCTGGGATTAAAGGTTTATGCCTGACTTCTATAGCTTGAGGCTGACTTTGCTTTTCTGAATCCTCAGGCAAGCTTTAATAAATCATAAACAATATATCATCACAAGTATGTGTGGTAGGAAGGAATGAGGGAGGGAGAGAGGGAGGGAGGATGTAGGAAAGAGGAAAGCAAAGCAGGAGTCCCCTGTCATTGGGCAAGAGGGTGTGTGTGTGTGTGTGTGTGTGTGTGTGAGTGTGTGGGTATCCATATGTGTCAGTGTATGTGTGTGTGTGTACGTGTGTATGTGTAAGGAAGGATTTTCTCACTGCATTACTGAAGGCAGAATTCCCTAAAGAACAGTAGTAAATTTTCGTTTGTCTGCTTGTAGAAACATTAATTTATCAGCAAGTCTAGTTTTTCTTCTCCCTGAGGAGAGAAGGCGCTGGGAGCCAATGTGGCCTCTTGGATTAATTGGCAGATGTGTACTGGCTGTCTGCTTTCTTTTCTAGGAATTAGCTAAATTCTGTTTCCACTGAAGCCCAGGTTGTGGCTTGTCTCAGATCCAGTGAGATCCATTAGACTTAGTAATGCCTAAGAATTTACTTCTCTTCAAGTTACCCCTCAGCTTTGATTCTCTCTGTCTTTCTCTCTGTCTCTCTGTCTCTGTCTCTCTCTCCCTATCTCCCACCCTCTCAATGAGGTAATTTACTAACAGAGATACTTTAAGCTGGGCAGTGGTGGCACACACCTTTAAACCCAGCACTCAGGAGGCAGAGGCAGGTGGATCTCTGTGAGTTCCAGGCCAGGCTGGACCGACAGCCTCCAAAACAATACAGAGAAACCCTGTCTCGTAAAAACCAAAAAAAAAATTTTTACTTCCTACTTAGAAGAGCCAATGAGACTGTATATTCCTGCAAGAGGTTATTGAAGAAGCAAAAGTTTCTGAGCAGATTCACAAAACCAAGGCTGAATTACACAGTCTCCCATTCTACACACACACACACACACACACACACACACACACACACAAGCACCCCCCCACCCGCTTGCCCCACCGTGTTAAGAGCAGGTCTCCAGGTATCTAATTACATGGAAAGGAAAGGGTTCCAACAGTGAATATCTTGGATCAGATCCTGGAACAACAGCAAATGGGTACCGACAGAAAAGTGCTGAAATATGATGGCCTGGAGTGTGGTGAATGGCGGTAACAGTATTTCTGCATCTTGACTGTGTGCTATGGTCATGACCAATGTCAACATTAAGGGATACTCAGAACTCTCATTTTAGCTGCAACTTTTGTGTGGGCTTAAACTTACTATAGAACAACACCTAAAGCCGAACCAGAGAGATGACTCAGCAATCGGCTGCTCTGCAGAGGACCCTGCACCCACATGGCAGCTCACAGCCCTCTGTAACTCCAGTTCTAGGGGATCCTAAACCCTCTTCTGGCACCAGGCACGAACATGGTACACATACATCCAGAAAAAAGTTTATTTTATACACATGAAGTAGAAATAGGTAAGTCTTTCATTAAAAAAGAAAAAGAAAAAAGAAAACCAGACTTCAGTTCCTAGATGGAGAGGAAAGTCCAAACAGCAATGATAACAGGAGTCAGAAAAGCTGGAGTCAAACCTGGAAAGCCTCAGGTTCACATCCACGCTCGCTACTTCTAGCTGTGCATCTCTGGCCAGGACTCATCACTTCCCTGAGCCCCAGTTCCCCCATGAATCCATCGTGCTCTCTGGGAAGCAAACAAGAACACTGCTGTGGATGGCACGGGTAATGAGCCTGGATGGTGCTAACGACCGGAGGGGAGCCAATCCGGCCTGCGCACTGGATCCTTAACCAGTAAGTTCAGCTCGCAGCATGGGATTGATACTTAACTTTAAAATATATTGAACCTGTCTCACCAAATCATCCAGTGTCACACTTTCTCCAGCAAGGCCAAACCTCCCACACCCACACAAACAGTACCATCAACTGCGGACCAAGTGTTCGAATAGCTAAGCCTGTGGGGGGCAGTGTACCAGATTTCTTCTTTTAGGCCACCAACCACCTCCCAAATCAGTACATGGAAATTTGCTATTAGTTTTGAATGCTTGGCCTCGCTTAGGCTCATTTCTGGCTAGCTCTTTTAGCTTAAATTAACCTGTTTCCTCTTTGTGCACATTTTGCCTAGGGGTTTTTCATCTTTTCTTTCTGTATGTCCTATTCCATCTATCGGGCTGTTGGCCACCTGGTTTCTAGTCGTGGGCATGTCCCTCTCTTGTTCCTCATTCTCATCTTTCTTCTCCTCTAATTCTCTTTTTCTTCTGCTATTTCTTCTCCCTCTATAAGACCATCAGCATCCTAATTGGTACACAAGTCCCAAATGCAGTGAGAGGCACATGTGAAGCTAGGAAATACTTTCTGACCAAAAGAATATGAACATGTTAAAGACCTCTCTATGTACATTGCCAGATGATTTTCTGGAGATGTGGTTATAATCGTAAAGTCATTGGCTAGAAGGGAGAATGCCAGTTTCTTCAAACCCATGCCACTGTTGAAATCGTCTCTTTAAAGAGTTTTTGTTCATTTTAATAAATAATGAAAGGGTTTTTTGTTGTTTTTTGTTTGTTTGTTTGTTTGTTTGTTTTGAGAACTGTATCTCTAACTTGGCCATGGTGGAGACTGTAGTTGTAGCACTTGGGAGGTGGAGCAAAGAAGATCCAGAGTTTAAGGCCAGTCTGAGCTACATGAGGATGGAGAGACAGACAGGCAGAGAGAGAGAGAGAGAGAGAGAGAGAGAGAGAGAGAGAGAGAGAGAGAGAGAGAGAGAGAGAGAGAGAGAGATTCTGTTTCATGTCTAAGAAGGGTCTTCATATCTGAGACGAGCACAAAGGAAAATGTCCTGTTTTTGTCAAACAAGTTTCAAATCCAGCAAGAGACACAGATGGAGCTGGGCATTGGCGCACATCTTTAATCCCAGCACTCGGGAGGCAGAGGCAGGTGGATCTCTGTGAGTTTGAGGCCAGCCTGGTCTACAGAGTGAGTACCAGGATAGGCTCCAAAGCTACACAGAGAAACCCTGTCTCAAAAAACAAAACAAACAAAGAAGAAAAGACACACAGATGGTGCCCATACCCATGTGGGTCAGGTGTGGTGCTGCGTGCCTGTAATCCCAGCTCCTGAAAGCCACTGTGGTGGTTTGAATACGAATGTCCCCATAGATTCATGTGTCTGAATGCTTGGCCCATAGGGACTGGCACTGTAGAAGGTGTGGCCTTGTTGGAGTAGGTGTGGCGTTGTTGGAGGAAGTGTGTCACTATGGGGGTGGGCTTTAAAGTCTCATATGCTCAAGTTATGCCCAGTGTGGGACACAGTCTCCTTCTGCTGTCTGCAGACCACCACATCATTTTCCCTCATCTCTCTAGTACAAGGCTGAGCACTGGGGTCCCCAGAGGCCTTAGGTTGCTCCCATTCTGCGTTTGTCCTTCCGTAGGTTACTGGTTTAGAGGGATGAATATTGTAGGGGGACATCAGTGAGAATGAAAAGTGAGGAAGATCTAAAGAACAACAGCTGCCCTGGGCAGAGTGACTGACCCAAGTGCACCTGCCCCTAGGGCCTTTGTCTCCTCGGGAAGCTCTGGGGCTGGGGGCCCCTCACAGCTATCCTGAGTGGAGACAAGGGGATGAGCCTTTGCTCTTCACACTGAAAGTCCTTTCTACTGGCTGTCTCCAAGAAAAGGAGGTTGTCTTGGTGGAGCCCACCCATGAAAGAGACTCGAATGGAACTCATCAGCACTCCCAGAAGCTGGAGGGAATGACCAAGGACTGAACACGAACAGCGTGCAGAGCACCAAGCAGTGGGACATACTGCTTTGTACCCCAGGGGCCCCTAATACTCTAGCCTGGTTGTTATCTTCTCTCCTCATTCACTGTGTGTGTCCCTGGACCTGGGATTATTAGGCTAATAATACTTTCTTTGTTATCTACATTCTGCAGTGTCATCCCGTTCCAGAAACAATGAAACAAAATGCCGTGCTGCCTAAATGTGGGGTAGAGGGGGCAGCAGGAAACTCCAGAACAAAGCTTCCACACACTACCCTCTGTGGAAGCCACAGATGGTGGAAAACATCCACATGATGCCAGCTACCGGATGGGATGCTTGGCAGTCTTCCTGCCTGGTGAGGAAGAGAGAGTGATTCTCGAAAGGGTTCCAAATCACACACTGCTGGGGAGAAACTACCAGAAAATGAGGTCAGAAGAGAACGGTGAAGTCTTTATATCCAGTAAAAGAGAGTATGGGCTTCATGGATGGAATTCTGTCTCCTTTCTTGCCCTGTGACAACACGGTATTTGCCCCTCTTTTTTGTACTTTCGTGTCATCTACCACGTGAGGGCATCTAGATGTACCATCCACTAGAAACAGACCTTTAGCAGATGCAGAACCTGGCAGCTGTATGATTTTAAAAATTATTTTCTTTATAAATTGAATTGAGTCTTTTGTTATAAGACTGCAAACAAACTAAGATAAGTTCTGGCTCCAAATAAGGTTGTGGTATAAGTTTCTGATGGACATGAATTTGGGGGATATGGTGGTTTGGATGACAATGGTTCCCATGGGCTCATGCATTGGAACACTTGGTCCCCGGTTGGTGGAACTGCTTGAGAAGGATTAGGAGGTGTGGCCCTGTTAGAGAAGGTGTGTCACTGAGATTTCAAAAGACTCATGCTATTCCCAGTTGCTCTCACTTGCCTTGTAGTTGTAGATCAAGATGTGAGGTCTCAGCTGTTCCTCTGCTCCTCCATCATAGGCTCTAATCCTCTTAAACCATAAGCCAATTTAAACACTTTCTTTTATAAACTGACTTGTCATGGTGTTTTATCATAGCAATAGAAAGGTAACCAAGACGCTATTCAACTAGGTACACTCCCTTGTGTCTTTCTAGTCAGTGGATCCAAGTGTAATTTTCATTTGGTTTTGTTTATTAGTTTGTTTGACCAATAGTGCGATGAGAGGTGAATAAGCATGGAAGTTGATGTCACAAGCAAAGAAGTGTTGATGTGTGGTTTGTATAGTAGTTAGTAGTTACTTTGCTCAATGCTGTGACAAAATTCCTCACAAAGAGCAACTTAAGAGGAAAGGGGATAGTCCATCATGGAGAGTGCCTTAATTTGGGTTTTTTATTGCTGTGAGGAGACACCATGACCATGGCAACTCTTATAAAGAAAACATTTAAGTGGGGTGGCTCACTTAAAGTTTCATAGGTCCAATCCATTATCATCATGGTTGGAGCATGGCAGCATGCAGACAGACACTGTGCTAGGGCTGAGAGTCCTACATTTTGACTTAGAGGCAGCAGGAAGTCAATTTCCTGTTGAGGTGAAGTCAACTTCACACCGAGTGAAGCTTGAGAAAAAAAACCCTCAAAGCCCACCCCCACAATGACACATTTCCAACAGAAGGTGTCAGAAGGTGTGGCCCAAATTAATGGTGTGCCCTCTAGCTTCAAGGTCTAGATTAAAGGCAGGTGTCATCCAGGCTCATCCAACAAGACCACACTTCCTCCAACAAGGCCACATCTCCTAATAGTGCCACTCCCTGTGAGCTTATGGGGGCCAAATACATGTAAATGACCACAGAGAGGAAGGCAAGGTAAGACAGAGCAAGCTCCATGGTGTCAGCAATGAGTAGTTGTGATCCCTCTCCTCTTGGTATCTTAGTGTAACAGGAAGCAGGGAGAGCAGACAGGAAGTGGGGTCAGGCTGTAGAACCTCCAAGCCTGCCCCCCACCCCAGTGACTACTTTCCTCTAGGGATGCTAGATGCGTACAGATTACAAAACCTTCCAAAATTGCGACAGTAGCTGGGGACCAGGTGTCCAAACACTTGAGCCTGGAGGGACATTTCACAATGAAATGACAATAATCGGGAAGAATGTATAGATAGAGATGGGGTGCTGGGATAGAACACGGGGTTACATGAATACTAGGCAAGCACTATACCAAACAAGCTACATTCCCAGCTCTCAACAGAGGTACCTCTCTCTCTGAAAGCAATGGGGAGAAGTCTGGATGGCGGACATTGGTAAAGGAGAGAAACAACTCTACTCCTTCCGGTCTCTTTCTAGAACTCTCTATTCTTTCTATTTATACAGACCTGGTGCTTCACTATTTGTCTTCTCATGTATTCACTCACTCACTCACTCACTCAGTGGGCTTTCCCTGATTGCATAGTAATGGATAATTACTGGAATTAAAGATGAAAAGGTTCAGCCTATCATGGCGACGTATCTGTAATTCCAACACTCAAGAGGCTGAGGCAGGGGGACTGTCACAGTTCAAGGCCAGCCTAGACTACATAATTCTAGGCTAGCCTATTCCTCAGAATAGGACCTTGTAGACTACATAATGAATTCTAGGCTAGCCTATTCCTCAGAATAGGACCTTGTCCTAAAAAGACAGACAGACAAACACTAAAAGCCCAGGTTTCCACCTCCAAGGACTTCATATTATTACCATAGTGATGGTAAAGCAAAGGACAATGACAGACATCAGTTCTGAGGGGGTCTACAAAATGCTGAGTCTTATGGTTACAAGGTTAAAGGAAAGCCTTCTAAGCAAAAGTGAAAAGGCCGTAGCACGGCAGGGCGACTAAAGACCACAGGGCCAGAGCATGAGTTTGTGAGCAGAAGCAGGTACAGAGGAGGCTGAAAAGGAGCCAGGACCTCTCACGAAGGGTTACACAGTCACCAGTGTGGACTCTTGCCACACACCGTAAGACTTCGTGAGAAGTCAGGGGAGTTCAGGAGGAAAGAACGTGGAAGAGTGCCACACTCCATCAGATGATGGAGTGACAGATGATGGCATTGTCACTTAGGAGGGCAGATTGTGGTGGTCACCATCTGTGATCTCAGTACGTGGGAGGTTGAGGCCAGGAAGAACTCAAGTGTTAGCCAGCTTGGGCTAGCTGGACTCTGTCTCAAAACAACAGCCTACGTATAACCTGAACATGGTGGGGGAAACATGAGAACAAAGGATTGGAAAGGACAGGAGAGAAGGGGTGGGGCTTGCTTTGGGTGGTCGGGAACTTGTCTGGAGTATATGAAACGTGTGCAGCGGGCAGGTGGAGATACTGGCCAGAACTCTGCATTCTGAGCTGTGCATGGGTATTTCACATCATTGGTAAACCAGTAAGCCTGGGGCCACACAGGGGGACAAGGGAAATACCATGAAAAACACTACCCCTTAAGGGATGTGTGGTGAAAGTTATCCCAGGCAAGAAGTTTAGAGGAGCAATTGAAAAGATAACAGTGAAGCCAAAATAAATTCTAAAAGGTGTGAAGGCCACTGCTTCTTAGTGGATACCTATATACTACAGGTCGAGCATGCTTAATTTGAAAACCTGCAGTCCCAAATGTTCCAAAATCTGGGACCTTTTTAATGCCAGCATGTCAGAACATGATATGTCCTGTACAAATGACTAAAAAGTATTATGTGAAATCACCTTCAAAATGTTTACACAGGGTATGTGAAGCTAACGAACATCACGTGTGGACTGAATTCTAACCCCTAAGTATTTCTTTGGCTATGCAAATATTCCAAAATTTGTAGCATAATCTAGAACACTCCCTAACAAGAGATACGCAGCTTGTACACTGAAGTGACCAGCTCCTAGTTGTTACACGAATAAATAAACAGACTGAGAGACACATATCACAAAGATAAGCAGGCATTTCCAGAAGGTACACATTGCACGCTGTGAGGAGGCCAGAGATGTATGAGGAGAACTGAGTGTTCCAGGCCCACCCACACGGGGACAGGAAAAACTAGGGCAGCCTCTGTTGTCATGTCCTGAAGGGCTCTGCCTGAGTCACCATCCTCCCGACAAGGACCTGGGGTTTCTCCAGTGCTAGCTGGAGGAGGTCCCTTCCATAATGGCTCTCAACTGCAGCCCTCCCCATCCCCACCTGATGCCTGAGGGTAGAGCCCCTGCCTCTCACTCAGTTCTCAGGTTCTCGCTGGCATTCATGGTTGTACTAGTTATCTACTGCTGAGTAACAAGTACTTCTAATGGGTACTTTAAAACAATGCACATTTATGATCACACAGTCTCTAGGGTTGGGTGGTAGGTGTGGCTCAGCTGGAATCTTCCTTTCAGACTTTTGCAAAACTAAGATCAAGTTTAAGCTTAGATGGTGTCCTCATTTGCTTTCTATTGCTGTGATAAAGACCAGGACCAAAAGCAACTTGGGGAGGAAAGGGTTTGTTTAAGCTTACAATGACAGTCAGTTATGGACTCAGGGAAGGAACTCAATGTAGGAGCCTGGAGGAGTACATTGAAGCAGAGGCCATGGATGAGCACTGCTTACTGGCTTGGCACTGTGAGAGACCAGGAGAGCCATGGGTGGATTGGTACAGCCTAGTTGCAGTGGAGACCACAGTATATTGGAGATGCTAGGACTGTGGCATGATCACCAAAGCCAGCAGGCACTGTGGAGTAGAGCTGTCTGTGCCTAAGAGATGCACTGTGTGTGCTGGGGATGGCAGAGCCACTGAAGTGGCTTCCCGGGCCCTCTGGAGTCCAGAGGATCAGGAGTCAACCTCAAACACTGAACATTTACACTGTTTGGATTTGATTGTTTCTTTGCCCTGGTTCCCTGCTGGAGTAAGAAGGTATCTAACTTGTTTTCTTTTATCTTGTTGGTGCCCACATCTGAGGGCCTTTGGATTTTCAAAGAGACACTGACTATTTTAAAAAGACTGTACTTTTAAAGCATTGAAAGCATTTAAACACCACTGTACATTTTTAATATTGTTTTTATTTTTGAGATTATAATAATATCATTTTCTCCCTTCTCTTTCCCCTCTCCAACCCATCCAATGTACCCCACAACTTGCACACAAATTCACGCTTTCTTTTTCTTTAATTGTTCTTACACATACATACATATGTGCATACATACATATACACACTCATAAATCTATAAATATAACCTCTCACTCCATATAATGTTAGTTGTCTGTATATGATTTCAGAACTGATCATTTGGTATTGGGAGCTCTTCCCTGGAAAAATATTCCTTCTGCTCTCAGTATTTCTTTGTTACCAGTAGTTCTTTACCTAGGACCATGTCTCATGAGAGTTCCCCCTTCATGTTAGCATGTGTATTGTCATCGTCGTTCAGGTAATGTCTAAGCATCCCTGTTCATGACACTTCCTGGGTGTAGTTTCTTGACTATTTCTAGGAGGCAATTTCACAGTAAACTTCCTGTTTCTCTGGTTCTCAGGTTCTCACAATCCTCCTCCACAATGATTCCTGCTCCTTAAGTGTGGGAGCTGTGTCATAGTTGTATCTCTGCCTTTTGATCAGTTGTGGTTTCCTGTAATGGTCTCTGTTTGCTGTTTGCTGCAAAGAGGATTTTCTTTGATGAGGGTTGATAAATACACGTATTTATGGATATGAGAATACATACATACTTGGGATAT